ATTTAATAAACTAAAACTTTATTTATAATTTATATAAAATCAGAACCTACTTTAAATTTTTAATTGTTTAAACTTAGTTGATTGAATAGAGGATAGTTATAAAATTGTAAAATACAGAACAAGAACACAATCACAAACTGATGAAATTTAAAATCAGAATTTTAATCTTGGCTTATATCTTAAGGCAAGCACAATTTCAAACACCTTCCGCTCTTTGGTATTTAGACACTCCCACGGGAACAGATTATGTGAAGAATGAATACAATGGAGGATTACCTTAATGGCATTTAGATTAAAATGGGTTAGGTCTTGGGAGCCCAGGAAGGTTCGTAGGAAACGGTATTTATGTAGAAGGCAGCTAACTTGCTTGTACTCATGCTGGAGCAGGTGATACTATAGATGTAGACAAAGATTTCACAGTTGATATGTGGATATATGCAAATTCCTTCGATGATTATGGGATCATACTTTGCAAATATTATGTAAGTATCAATTTTAACTTTGGAACTCTAGAAAATTTAAAAAAGTAAAAACTACTGTGAATTTCTAAAATAGCTTCAAACAAGATATCAAATAATAAACTAATTTTTAGGATTTGGGGACATACGTTAATGAGAGATTCTGCATTGGCCACACTATCAGTGGTAGAATTCACATAAGAATAAACTACTATAGCTATAATTATGGAAATGCAGTATACTTATATGAACCTTATGATTGCGATATTGAATGTAAACTCTTATTAATAGATTAAACTTTTTTACTTTTTTAAATTATTTAGTGGGTTGGAATCATTTGACTGTGGCTTTTAAGAGAGTCAGTTGTTCATCTCCATCAAACTGCAATACTCAAATCATATGCTATGCACAAACTGATACAGGCAAGGTTACCACAGACACTGCTATGGCTTATCTCGATATGGATGATGATCCATCAAATAGAGGATTTTTATGTATAGGAGGTACAGTAGGAACAACATTTAATGGAGGGGCTGGACTTTATTATGAATTTAAAGGTATTGTAGGATAAGTAGCATTTTATGGTGGAACTATATTAACACAAGCCTAATCTCTTGCTTTACAATCAACTAATTGCTAGAAAATGTGTAAGATATGTCGTCCTGTTGGGACTGCTCCCTATGAATGCTTTTAATAGCAAAGTGGAAACTGGCACTAGTATGATTTTAGATAAAGTGTTTACCCAACAAACTTTGTTTAGCCTGATGGTAGTGGAGGAGGGCGTAATCTCTATGTAGATCCTAACTTTAGTTAAAGTCCTATATACACCCATAAAGAAGGATTTTACTTTGACACAACTTGGGCTGGCTAGAGTTAGTATATTGTTTCTAAAATTAGTACTGCATTTCCATCATCAGCAGTTAAATCTTTTACATTAGAAGCATGGATAAGACCCACAAATGGACTTTAAAATATGAATATTTTTGAAAAGGAGTATTCAATAGGCAATGATTACTTGCTTTGGGGATTTTCTACTCTGAATTACATGTTTATTAGAATTGGTAGTTATACCGTCCCTTCCTATTATTGTGGAACACCAGCTAATAATGAATGGCATTACGCAGCTGTATCAATATTATAAAAGAATGAAAACTATGAATTAGTTTGCTACAAATTTGATACCTAAACTACTTAATGCCATTCGATTTACAATGTTTACACTGAATATGGTACCTCAACTTTACAAATAGGCTAAGGATTTAGAGGATGGATTAGAGATATAAATGTCACAGATTATGCAAAAGTGGATCTTGATCTATCTAGGGTAACCCAAACTTCAGCTTGCTTAGCCAATGAAAATAGCAATACATGCAGCAGATGCCCAATATAGTCAGGATAGTGTATTCCTGATTGCAATTATGGGTATTATGTGAATTCAACTACAAAATCATGCACAATTTGCTATGCAAACTGTAGATCATGTTGGGGTGGCTATCATGATAATTGCTATTCATGTTTGAAAACTCCTATTTCATGGTCTTTTGACTATGATAGAAGATGCAAATCTGCTTGTGGTGACTCTGTCAAAGATGATTATGAAGTATGCGAAGATGGCAATACAAAAAATGGGGATGGCTGCTCTTCAACTTGCACAGAGGAAACTGGTTTCTCATGTTTTGGTGGCTCTTTCAATAAAGTTGATACTTGCAGGTTTAAATGCGGTGATGGTTTATTATCTGGGTCTGAGAAATGCGATGACGGAAATTCTGTTAGAGGTGATGGATGTGACCTACTATGCAATATAGAGACTGGATTTCAATGCAGTGGAGCTCCTTCAGTTTGCACTCCCATCTGTGGTGATGGTAAAAAAATTGGAAATGAAGTATGTGATGATGGAAATACTGCTACAGGTGATGGGTGCTCAAATTTATGCAAAATTGAGACAGGGTTTAACTGTACAGGAGGAAATGTGAACGGCAAAGATACTTGCTAGGAGCTATGTGGAGATGGAAAAGATTTCTAAAAGTATGGATGTGATGATGGCAATTTAGTAAATAACGACGGGTGTGATCAGAACTGTAGAGTTGAAACTGGATACACGTGTTCAGGAGGATCTTTTGCAATTAAAGATACCTGCACTGAAATATGTGGAGATTCAAGATTAATGAAAAAGACTGCCACTTCTTGTGACGATGGAAATATTGTAAGCGGAGACGGTTGTTCCTTAACTTGCTTGATTGAAACAGGATTTTAATGCGCAGGTGGGAGTCCTTATACTAAAGATACTTGCAGTGAAATATGTGGGGATGGAAAAAACTTTGGAAAATATTCTTGTGATGATGGCAACACTGTTGATGGAGATGGATGCCATTCAGATTGTTCTATTGAAATAGGTTTTTAATGCTCTGGAGGAACATCAACTACCCCAGATACTTGCTCTGAAGTTTGTGGTGATGGGAGAAATTTCGGAACTTATGCCTGTGATGATGGAAATAATGAGGATGGAGATGGGTGTAGAGCGAATTGTACAATTGAGCCTAAATATTATTGCACAAAAGGGGATAAATATACTAAGAGTAAATGCTATATCACTTGCAATGGTATAAGAGAATTTAAGGATATGTGTGATGATGGAAATCTTGTGAATGGAGATGGGTGTGACTACTGCTGTCATAGAGAGGTTGGCTTTGTTTGCTCTGGTGGATCAATGGTAAGTGGTGATGTCTGCTAAGAAGCATGCGGTGACGGCAGAAAAATGAATTATTTAGAATGTGATGATGCTAATTAAGTTAGTGGAGATGGATGTTCTTCAACTTGCTCTATAGAAACTGGTTTTTACTGTACTGGTGGAACTCTATTTACCCCAGATATCTGTTTTGAAATTTGTGGGGATGGAAAAAACTTTGGAAATTACGAGTGCGATGATGGAAATGTTGGGAATAATGATGGATGTTCTTCTTAGTGCTATATTGAAAAAGGATTTACTTGCACCGCAGGTAATTCTACAACAAAAAGTGTATGTGAAGAAATTTGTGGTGATGGAAAAAACATGAATTCATTTTTGGATTAATGTGATGATGGTAACACTGTTAATGGAGATGGATGCATGAAAAATTGTACCATTGAAACTGGCTATACATGTTCATAGGGAAATCCATATGTGCCTGACCTTTGCCATGAAATATGTGGAGATGGATATAACTTTGGTAAGTTTGAATGTGATGATGGAAATACTCAAGATTAAGATGGGTGCTCTTCTTACTGCTCTATTGAAGATGGATGGACATGTTCTGGAGGAAATACTTTATAACCTGATACTTGCAAACCCAAATCTAGTCCAATGATAACAAATGCATTTATTTCAAAGAATAATCAACTGATTACTTTAGAATTCAGTGAACCAGTGATTATGCTTTCTAGCTGGAATCTCACAAATGCTTGGACTATTGATATTTCTGGTCCTTTTGGTAGAGAGAATTATAAATTTACTTGGAATGTAACGAGAGTATCACTTTATAAGAATGCTTTGTACCAAGGACATACAATATTAAACATTGATTTCAACTGTGAAAACTAATTATTTGGTGGTAAAGTTGAGAGAATAGTAATCAATTTCAACAAAAGAGAATTTATAAAAGGATATAGCTCAAATTCACAAATGAGCAATTCAAGTGCATTCATCTATCCTTATGGTTAAGACCAGCAATCATCAGCAAACAAAGAAAATGGGTTTCCTGACTTAGTTGATCAGCTGGTAATATCTTTGATTTACTCATCATTTGGTGTGGGATTTATTTCAGCATTTTCAGGATACAGTATGATGAATGTATGGATTATGACTTATGGAGTCTAGCAAATTTATTTCTTTCCAATGAACAATTTGTATGTTCCATCATCTCTTACTACTTTCGTAAAAAATCTAAACTTTGCTGTTCCTCAAAGTCAGATTCTAGCTTATATTTGTGTTGCTGGAATGGTTAATAATACTCAGTTTGAAATTACGAATGAAGTACCTAGCTAGACTTACTATAAGATGGGATTAGAATCTACAGCATTTTTGCAAACTGGGGCTGACGTTCTATCAGTTATGATATGCATGTTCATATTAAATATGTGCATTGAAATTATTAGATTGGCTTTTGAAGATAACGTAGAACTAAATAATTCAATGACTAGGATAAAGTCTGCTATTATACCAGGATATTTAACATTTGCTTTTGCCAAATTAGCATTAACTACACATCTAAATATTGCATTTACAAATTTTGATGATTCATAAGCAACTGTCTCATCGATTTTCGCTCTTGCTTTAGGATCTTTCTGTTGGGCCTATATGCTATATATGGGTTATCAAGCAATTCAGTTTTATAAAGAGATGAAACAACTGAAGCTTTAATATCCAGACTAATCTCACGATATTTTAAGAGACCTAACATATTTCAAAGGGAATGTTCTATTTTAGGATTATTCTACTACTTCTTATATTTATCCTATCACAATCTTTTATCCTTGTATCATGTAATTGAGACAACTTATATCTGCTATTTTGATAGTTTCTAATGACTATTAGGAGTAGCTAAAAGGCTAGATGCTTATTTCATTAATATGTATGACATCTTCTCTAGTAATTTAACCATTTACTTCTCCACTTATGAATGCTTAACTAATTTTTAATGAAATGGGAATTTTCTTAATATACATGCAAGCTCACTAATTCATACCTAAAACTTTGATTGCATAAAATGACTAAACATCTGCTGCAAAACTATTTGTAATGATGATTATAGGAATAGTGGGTGTAAATGCTTGCTTTGTTATTTTTACTAAAGTCACTCAAATTGCTAAGTGTAAATCTGTGGCAAGAGCAAAACCCAATAAAAGTAAGATGTCACCTGATTAGAAATAGACAGTTAAAATATAACCAATTTAACAATAATTGTCTGCAAGGCCATTAGTTTAAAATGATACTCCAATTTCAGCAAAAGATTAAATTTAAGCAGTGTAAAGTGCAAAAAATATATCATCTGCTAAGCCAATATAATATCTCATTGAACAAAAGAAATTAGAATAGAGGATGAAAGAATAGTAGTAAACATAAAAAAATCTAAAAAAATAGCAAAAATCCGCTAGTAATAAAACCTAATCAGAATATTCATATTATGATGAAGAAGACGCTGAAGATAGCAATTATGAGGAAAGTAAAAGTTATTATGGTGAGACTTCTAGAAATATTAAGGATAAAAGATGATTCAACTAAAAATATAAAGATTGATTATATTTACATTATTTAATTATTAATTTCATGAATTTAATCATTCAATAATTCAAATTGTCTATGATGGGGTTTTGGGGTTTTGGGGTTTTGGGG